TAAAACTTCTAGATTGTCTCTATTTCCACTCATGTTCCTTTGAATAACATGCCAAGATGGCTAGCTCTTGATTTTCAAAGAGCTTTATTCACAATTTACTGATGTTTCCTCGGGAGTGATTTTGTTTTTGGTAAAAAGCCCTTCTCCCTCTTTCACCCCTACCACAGACACTTCTCAACATTCCAAATTCCTAGCCTAGCCATAACATAATTTAGGCTAGATCAGTATTCATAGCTGACACCATTCTATCTATAAGGAACTAGTTGCAGCTCAGCTATGTTGCTTATACCAAGAACTTTTGTCATTTTTGTATGATAAGTTGTTGCCACTGACCTGAATAATTGGGTTTATATGTACCTCACATTTGCTTATGAATCTATAATATCAAGTCTTCACCAGGCCTTAAATGCCTTTGAGTGTTCCTATACTTTAAGAACTCAATTTTATCCAGAAGAAATCGGAATCTTGAGACTCATGACCTATTCCATCTCAGGTTCCTTTTGTACTGATATCTTGAGCCACATCTTTACATTCATGTACATTCATGACCATTCAGGCTCAATTTTCTGTCTTTCTTCTACCTCTTGCCTCATTCTCTTATTTGGGGCACTATGCAATCTTCAGTAGCTATCTTAGATAGAGTGTAATGAACATTCTGTCTATCTATCATCTACTTAGCTATCATTCATCCATCCATTCATCCATCCACCCATCCCCAAAACCCAAATATAAAATCCAAGAGATAGTGGTGGAATATACCTACAATCCCAGCACTGGGGAAGCAGAGACAGCCAGAAAACTAGGGCTCTACCGGCCAGCCATCTTAGCCTACTTGGCAGGCTATGGGCCAATGAGAGACTCAGAAAACAATGTGGAATGCACCTGAGAAATGACACTTGCTGTCCATTTGGCTTCTACCCATGTGTGCATTCTTGTGCACCTGCACACAAATCCCAGTATTTTCTCCAAAAGGAAAACCAAACCCTCTACCTTCCCAAGTCCACCAAGAGCTCTCATTTCCCTAAACTCTTAGCAGATTACCTTGACATGAACTGTCAAGCTATGAGATACATATAGGAATTCCATGTGTTGCAAAGATGGTACCCAACAGTTGACCTGTGGGTTAATAGGAACACTTTCTGTCACAGCATTCTACTTGTCTCTTGTAATCATTTTACTGATGGTCTCAACATCCTGAGGTATCAAGACTGTCTGCTTTCCATTGTTTAGTTTTTACCAACTGGGTTTTCTCCCAGGCATTTAAATTATACTCAAACAGCACAAACCAAGAAGCCAATCCTCCAACACAAGACAGTCTCTGCTGTCTACGCAGTATCCCCGGGATTTCCACTTCCTTCCTCAATGAGACATCTCCCAAAGTCTCCCTCCTCGTTTCACTATCCCTGTCCACTGTCATCCCACTCTATTCCCACTACTTCTAAAGTCCCAGTGACTCCTAGTTAAAGCTTCTCAGCCTCCCCATACTGCACAGACACAGTTGTGTGCTCATTTGGGAAATCATCTTTCTCCTGAGCTGACATCACAAGACTTGTGCTCAGGTTTCCCCCCTTTACCACACTGCTGCTTCTATCTTTTCACTTGTTCACTGTCCTATGTGTGACCAACACATGCCAAAATGCTTATGAGACTATTTCCTGAACTTTCAATTCTTTTCCTTCTCATCTACCAGTTAAGCCCTAGTCTTGTGTATCACTAGGGTGATTGCACATAGGAAAAGGTCATATATTTCTCCCAAGTTATAAGCCCAGCACTGAAGTCTACACTGTTATATACAATAGTTTATTTGACATCTTTCCCAAGAGTTCTTAATGACACCCCACTCTCAGTATGCTGGGGTCCATGTTGTGATCATTCCTCCAGCACAGAAATCTCCCAGTAATCTCTCACTCGGTTCACAGCACCAGTTTTTCTTTGTGTCAGCCATAATCCTGTAGACAAGTCCTTTCCCATCATCCCTTGTCTCATCCACCATTAGTATAATTGATGACACCATGAAAATACTTCCCACGAGTCCTCTCACATCTCTCCATGTTCCTTGTCTCAGATGCCTTTAGCATCCATGATCTAAGACTCCTGGGTAGTTCAGTCCTCTTCTATCCTTGTCCTGTAATATGCTCTCTAGACTATTCTGGCATCTCTTTAATGCTCAAGTTTAACTGCACTACTTTTTACCAAAAGCATTTTTGTACTTTCCTTTTGTTCTGAGAATGGAGATAGCTCAAACTCACCTTTTATTTGAACATCCCATTTCCAGTGCCTCGTTTTCCTGTCCTGCCCCTGCTGGCCTTCTCCTTACTGTAGGAATGGAGGGAAGCATTCCACCACCTCCTCCACTGAGTTTTTGTGTTAATCCCAAAGCTCATAGCAGCTTCTGTACAGTGTCTAGCACCTGCAGGGCTGGTCCCTTTACCTCATGTGCCTCTGTTTCCTCAATCATAAAGTGCAGGTAATGGTAAAGGCTACTTTCAGGGATGCTATTATATCATATCATACTTTGCACGGATGATTCATCCCTTTCTCCTCTCTGGTCAATTTTTTTTTTTTCTTCTGGAACAGGTGAATTCTTGAGTTAGTCTTTTGGTAAGTGTCAATGACCTCTTTGAACTTAGTCCATTGCAGGTTTTCTCATGTCTTTAGTCCCCTTTTACAATGATTGCTATAGGGCAGTGGTTCTTAACCCATGGGTTATGTATGACCCCTTTGGCAAACCTCTCTGTCCAGAAACATTTACATTATGATTCATAATAGAAACAAAATTACAGTTAGGAAGTAGCAATGAAAAGGAACTGTATTAAAAGGTTGCAGCATTAAGAAGGTTTAGAACCATGTTAGGACTAGGACTAGGACATGCATTCATCTTGTGGTAGCACCCTATCTTTCTTCTGGGAAGGCCAGTCTCACAAATTCAAGGATTGTGTCTTTCTTTGCTCAGTATTCTTCAGGCCTAATGGAGTGCCCAGAACACAGCAAGGCTCCCATGAATATTTACACCCAGAGAAAAAGGGTAAATACCTTGATGGGAGGCTGAGGAATGCTGCCAAACAGACCAGACCCTGTTGGTGGTAACTGTTTTGCTAAAGAATCACTAATGGCAACCAGAAGAATCAGAAGACAATGTTAGCAGGGGGCAGCTGAGTGGGGTGTCTATTCTTGGGTTAGTGGGAGTCACACTGGGCAAGAGATGTAGGGACAATGCATGAAGTATAGAACTAGGTTTGAGTCTTGATCCTTTCCCTAGAAGGTACAGGTCCTGGAAGAATTTAAAAATTACATTTATTTGTGTGTGTGTGTGTGTGTGTGTGTGTGTGTGTGTGTGTGTGAGTGAGAGAGAGAGAGAAGTATTCGTGCTTTTGGGCATTCAATGAAAGGTAGTGTGTACACACATGTACACACACACACACACACACACACACACACACACACACACACACGTACGTCGTCCTTGAGTGCAATTGCCAGAAGAAGCCAGAAGAGGGCATAGATACCTTTGAGCTTGAGGCAGTTGTGAGCCATGAGAAGTGAGTGCTGGGAATTGAATTCTGGTCTCCTGAAAGAGCAGTTAACTGTGGAACTATCTCTCCAGCCCATGAGTTTTAATCATTCCATTTCCTCACTTATGTGAGTATGTGTGGGAGGACACAATCCAGTGTGCTTTTGTGTTGATCAATGGACAACTTGCCTGAGCTGGGCCACCCCTTCCACCATGAGTGTCCTGTGGATCTGTCAGGTTTGGCCGCAAGTGTTGTTACTGACTGAGCCACTTCTCCAGACTCCTTAAGAGTTTTGATTTTCCTTAAGCAAACCAGGTGAACCCTATGGCTTGTCCCACGTGAAAACCTACTGCTTCCCTGTGGAGCACAGTGACATGCTACCATCTTCATCTTCCCCGAGAGAAGATAAGCATTTGCGTGCTTTTGGGCATTCAATGAAAGGTAGTATGAATCTGTGTGGCGTGGAGGAAGGCTTTCCGAATTCACACCAGGATCCATGCTCGGCTTTGAGAGCAGTGGTGTGTGCGCTGGTCCGGAAGTTGGGATCAGAAGTTGTAGCTGTTCATCTACCGGTGGTTTAGGACAGAGGTTTTCTTCTTGGTCATTTCAGGTAGGGATGCTAGTTTCAGGTGCTGAAACTAGTTCTTGCTGCATCATCAAGGGCCAAAAAGATAAAAGTCAGAATAGGGCACCCCACCCCCGTCCCGGTTTCTATCTCTTTCTTGAAAAATCAAAAAGAATCCATAGGAGGCAAGGCAAAGGGCTCTTTGGATTGGACCGGTTAGGTGCAAGTCAGTCAGGTCTGCTCTGATGTCTGCAAAAATTGGGCATCGATCCTTCCTGCCCCCCAGATCTCCTTTTGTACTATTACCATTCACACTTACGAGACTCAGGGTGTCCCGTGGGTATGTAAATGGCACTTCAGGACTGTGCTGGGCTTGAACTTGGCCGACTCTAAGTTTGGAGTATTCTGTGCATGAAGAGGGATGGAATCCAGTGGTAAGGACAGAAAAAGTGACAGTAAGTGGATAAACAAGCTTGTGTGTCTGGCGGGCATGCGGGAACTTTGGGCTTGAACTTGGCCTTGCAGGAGGCCATAGGGATTTGTGAGTTTGTAGCGGGATGGACACAGAAAAGTGACATTAAGTGACGAGGGTGCCTGCTGGGCACCCGGGGAGCATCAGGCTCGAACTTGGTCAGGGTGTCTGAGAGAGCCCAAGGGTCCGCGCGAGGGGCAGGCTTTCCGGGCGGCGCCGCGCGGCGTGTGGACGTGGTGCGTGTGAGAGGGCGCGGGCCGATCGCTCCCGCCCGTCGCTCCCCGTGGGTCGTCCCGGCCAATGAGCGCGCGAGGCGGCGGGGCCGGCGGCGGCCAGAGGCGCGGGCTGCGCTCTGCGCTTGGAGCGGGCGCTGCAGGCGGGGGCGCGGGCCGGGGCTCAGCACGGCGCGGTGGGGCGGGGGCGGCGCCCGAGGCGGGGATGCGCAGGGCTTCCCGCGGCCACGGCGGCGGCGGCGGGGGCACGAGCTAGCGCCGCGGCGCGCCGAGCCAGAACGGCCCGGGCCGGGGTGGCGGCGGCAGCGGCTTCCCGAGCGCCGCTAGCACCATGGCCGCGCAGGGCGAGCCCGGCTACCTGGCGGGGCAGTCGGACCCAGGCTCCAACAGCGAGCGCAGCACCGACTCGCCGGTGGCCGGCTCCGAGGACGATCTGGTGGCCGCGGCGCCCCTGCACAGTCCCGAGTGGAGCGAGGAGCGCTTCCGTGTGGACAGGAAGAAACTCGAGGCCATGCTCCAAGGTAGGCAAGCCCCTGCTCCCGATCTCCTCTCTTAAGGGCCCACGTCGCACCCAGTCAGCTCACGGGATCCCCCCACCCCGCTCCCTCCAGCCCCATATTCTGCCAGCTCGCCCGATAGGAAGGGCTAGAGGCCCGAGTTTGTCCTGCTGCCCCCTAAGTTGGCATTCGTACTTCGGGGATGCCAGCTGCAGCTGGGACATCCGGGCCGTGGCATCCCCACGCGCCGGGATCGCCCAGCGTGAGTGACTGTGCCCGGCTTCTCCTAGCCAGGAGTCCTCTCTACCCCTGCTGCGTCTTTTCCCTCCTCTCGTCAGTATCCGCTTCCTCCAGCTAGGGCCTGCTCTGGTCGCCTGGAAAAGCGCTGCAGATGTCAAGGCTTCAGCTGGGAGCCCCTGCCCCCACGTTGGAGTCTCCGGCTGGAGCAAGTCACCCAGGCGTGGGGATCCGAGTCCTGGCAGAGCGAGGAGAGCATGTGTTAGGGGAGCCGGGCTCCTAAAAGACATCTTGAGTTACATTCAGTTCAGAAACTTCTCCCTTGCAGCTTTGGGAGTCTGACTTTGTCTTTCATAATTTGGGGATCTTTTTTTTTTTTTTTTAAAGTTTTATTTTATTTATTTATTTTTTTTTAACTCTTTAGAGTTTCTGGGACTTTACCAGAAAAAAATTTTTTTTTCTTTACCCTGGACTGTCTGGAAGCAAATTCCGATTTATCGCTTTACGATTAGACGGAATGGTTAAAACGTCCAAGGTCATTTTGACCTTTACAATTTTTCATTACCAGCCTACCTGTGGGTCACCTGTGTGGCTCACCTCCCACATCCAAAGTCAGAGATGAGGTAGCGGGAATGAACATTATTTTAAAGACTTGTGCAGAGAACCGGTCCCTGGTCTCAGGAAGGGAGAGGCAAGGATTCGGTAGCTCCCATCCTTCATCTTAGAAGGCTCGGAGGTCTACAGACTCGCTTTTATGGCCATCTGCGTGACTTATTTTGACTTTATCAGACAATGTATCGCAGTATGGAAGCGAGTTATTCCTCTCTGGAAATGCAGTGGCTTTTCAGAACAATTAAGAGGGTTATTTTAAGAGAGAACAACATGTTTTCCCAAACAATAACTTGGTGGAAATAAGTATCAGGAGTGCTTGGCAGCATTTCTGGAAGGGCTGAAAACTTTCTCTTTTTGCTTATTTGTATTGATAAACATTCCGAATGTCATGTCTCAGGCTCCGGTTTCCCTTAAATTATGTAACTTTGTAAGAAAGTAATGGATTTGAAAATTGAAGCCGGGTTACATTTCAGTAATTTTCATTTGTAATGCTTTCTTATTAGTTCCACAATTTTGCAAACAAAATGTTACAAATATGTTGCAGAAGTATTGTAAGATTGTTTGTATTGAACTGTAAGGTCCCAGGCTGATCCATTTCAACCACTTTCCAACTTGTTCTTATTTGAGTTGGAAACAGGATGAGCTATTACTCGGGAAGAACAGTGTGGTATCATCCTTAATGGGTACCCTGCACAAACACTGACATGGACACCAGTTTCTGGGAAGTTCACTTGTAAAATCTGACTTCTAAGGGATTTCTTTGTCAGTGAATTTTAATTTTGATTTCAATGACATATAGGTAGGACATTTTGAAAATTTCAAGTGCTATCTGTCTTTTAGGCATGCCATTCTAACATCTGAAGGTCTAAATCACTTTTAAGTGGTCAGATATTAGCAGATATTAGCAGCCTATACATAATCAATTACCCATGCATCACTTTGTTGGCAAAATAAGCCTTGAAGTCAGTTGAGGATGGAACCCAGTGCACAGTGCACTATGGCCCTACCCCTACCCACACACCATTAGATTCCACAGAACCACCACATTGGGTGGACCAAAGGTGATCTTGTGTTTAATTGCTTTATGCTATAGCAGGTATGAGCCCAGAGTTGCTCAGACTTGCATTCAAATCCCTGTGTGATCTTAGTCAAGCTCCTGGGCCTCTCTCTGCCCCCAGGTTCCCCACCTGTAACATAGAGGTTGATGTTTTAGAACCTCTCTGGTTTTGTAGGAAAGGAAACTTGTGATGTTTAAAGAGCAAGACTTACTGCAGTGTTGGTAAATACCAAAAGCCTAATAATGCAGCATTATCTCATGGGTCCAGCTCATTTCAAGTATGTACCACAGTTTAAAACATATGAGCTATATCTAATAAATAATTGGGTAACAGGAGGAGTTTGCAGGTTCAGAGTTGTGAAAAGTAAAAAAAATCAAAATCTGGCAAAAAAAAAGTGGTATTTTTAGGTGGAAACTTTTCTTTTGGTAAGGGTCAAGTAGGGAGAAGTTGCATTTGTTTGTATTTCTGGTGATTGTGAATTAGTGATTTGCCATCTTTTCACAATACCCTTAAAAAGTATATGGGATTTTCCATTTTAAAACAGGGTTAGTACTGCTGTTGGCCTTCAAGTCTTCAGAGTGTAAATTGGTGATTATAATGCCTGGAATTTGTTTTTAGAGAGACTGTCCTGGGGGCAAGTTAATCTTTAATAGGTAGCATTTTTATTAGTAGAGAGAGTCTTCTATGCAATGAACCAAAAATTCACTGAGGTTAAAATGGGCAGTAGGGTAGTAGTCAAAGAAATCAAATACCATTCTTGCATGATCTTGAAGTCTAATTGATATACATAAAAACCACTAGACCAAAATATAGGAAAAATTACTAGCTTTTTTTTTTCTTTTAAAAACAACTACTTTGAAATAGCCATAAAGAATGTCTGGCATTTTTGTTGGTATCTTGATGACAATTATTGATCTTCTTGGTCAATGATTTTTTTTTTGTAACATAGGAATTTACTTTTGAGTTTAGTTTTCTTCATGTGAATGCTCAGCCTTGGGATGCATGCCACGTCCAGCATTTTTTAGTGGTAAGGAAGCATTGTGTCCTATTTCTTCCATAGCTAACCCTCAGCATTTTGGTAGACTTCACCAGGAGTCGTGGTGTGTTGACTCATTTGATGTGGTGTTGACTCATTTGAGTCAGTTAAATGAGTTATACTTTGTGAAAAGGAGGGTTGCTCTGAAAGAGATGGGGAGTAGTCAAGAGTATTGGTGGTGTTTGCCAGAGAAGCTAGCAAAGATGGGATCCCTTTGGTCATCACCAAATATATGTGTTTAATACAGATGGAGAATCCCAGCGTACAGTTTAGAAGAATAAACTTTGTCAAGGTTGGGTCCTAGCAGTTTCAGCAGAGATACAAAGGAGTGGGGGGTAGGGGCATGGCTTATAAAGGAGGTGGACATCCACTGAGCTTTCCCTCTAGGATAGGGAAGATGTTGGAAACCATGTAGGGCTTCCACATTCCTGGACCCTTACTGCCTGGCTACTAGTGCAGGCTGGCACCATGAGCCACAATTGTGTCAATGCTCTAACTTAGCAAACTTCACGGTTTGGTGACTAGGTATTGTTTCTTTCTTAGATATGTTGTGGAGGCGGAAGAAATACGAAGATGGGCGAGTTCCAGAAGTGAACTTAAAGAGAAAAAGCCTAAGTGAACAGAGCTTTCTAGCTAGGGCTTGATCAAGGCTGACAAATGTTAACAAATCAAATAGCTTTATGAAGGACCGTGGGTATGTGCACAGGGCTCTGGGCCAGATCAAGATTTATACATTATGTTACCTGAGGCTATCTCTCTAAAAAGGGGCTATCTCTCTAAAAAGGAGCGTTAGTAACAATTATGAAACCTTGAGGTGGTGGTAACACCTCAAGGGGAAAGGGGGCTGGAGAAATGGCTCAAGGGTTAAGATACTTGCTGCTCTTCCAGAGAACCAGATTTTGATTCCCAGCACCTATATCTGGCAGCTCACAATTGCCTGTGACTCCAGCTCTAGGGTATCAGGATCTCTCTTCTGGTCTCCGTGGATACCCCCACCACTGGTAGAATATACATATACAGGCAGACACCTAAATTAAAAAACAAAACAAAGTAAGCAAGCAAACAAACACACAAAAAACATAAAAGATAATTCAGTGCTGCCTGCATAGGGCACACTGAATGAATTACAGAAACATTATTCATTTTAAGCCACAATAAATGAAAGTCCTTATTAGAGGATAAATATAGTGAACCTCCCAGCTCTTTTAAGATTGTCATTGGCCCACTGGTGGCTTGCAGATTGAGAAGTAACTTCGGTAGTGGTGTGTACACCTGAGCTAATGGACCGGGCTGAGGAGGTGGAGGTCTCCTAGGCTTCTTCAGTGACGACTGCTCTTGCTTTGAGTAGTTTCCTATCGTGGAAAACAGGCTGAATAGATGTTTATTCAGGGAGAAATAACTTGCAACACAGACAGATGAACACCAGCAGGTTCCAGTCCCAAGGATGCCTCCGGATGCTCTCCATCCAGGAAGCAAGAGAACAAGAGAGAGCTCCAAGGTTCTCCATCCCAGACCTAGTTCCTCCACATCACTTCGGCCCCTGTCTCCACCCCCAATGGGAGTGGTCAGTGCAACAGGTGCGGGCAGGTGGATATCTCACTAGTTTCCATTCTTGAAAGGCTTCCCATTCACTTGGTACTTCTTCAAGGACTGTTAACCCCTCTTCTGCTAGAAGTGCCCTGCTCTTGAGCCTCTCATCAGTGTGCGGAAGGGCATTTTTACATGGGTATGATCCAGGTGGTCTCTTCTTAGGGGACTGGAGAGAGAGAGGGGAGGGAGTGAGAGGGAGAGGGCAGAGGTTAGGAGCTGTTGTGTGGAGGACTTGGGTTTGGTTCCTAGCAGCCTTGTTGGGCAGCTCACAACCCCTTGTTACTCCAGTTCTAGGAGAGCCAATGCCCTCTCTGGCGTCCATGGACATATATACTCACAGACACGTGATTAAAAATAAAGCCCATCTTTAGAAAAATTGTCTCATTGTAGGGAGATGTAGGCACAGAATAGCTTGTGTGTAAAATGCTGTAGGGTAGGGCACATGGCACTTGGAGATGTCAATGCAGTGACAGCAACAGTATCTCTGTTCC